GAAACCGGTCAAGTATTGTCGAACAGTTTTTGACGACATTGTGAGTGGTGCGTTCTGTCATGCAGCTTTCTCTTGACCCCCGACCGACTGGTCATATCCATAACCAGCCTCGTCTGAGTGTCGAATGTCACTCTTCAGGAGACTGATATTGGTAGAGGCAATTAGAAGGGATCTAGAACAGTGGCCTCAATCCTGTAATCGAATATAAACGGAGGTGGGCTTTCTGATGTTGTTGACTCCTCGAGTTCTGAATGTGCACTTGTTAGTCAGTCGGTGCTACACATGGATAAGGATTTTTTACGAATGTCTGTCGATTTTTGGCCTTAGCACACCAAAATCCGCTTCCAAAAGTGTTCGAAACTACTTGTTCAGTGACTAAGACCCCGTCATACATCCAAAAGCTACACGAAGTCAACACTTTCATGAAAAGCGTAAAATGTTGAGCGTACACAGATTTTCAGTGGAACTCACAAACACCAGGAACGCTACATGACCACCAAATTGTTGGTCAACCCCAGCAATCGCATCTCGGACTGAATGCAAATAGGATATCACTCGTGAGTCACTGAACCACGTTATGCCGGTCGATATTCTAAGTGGACGAGAATAAGTCACTTTCAAGTTTACATTGCATCAGTGTCAAACAAGTCACCAGACGCATCAGCTTATAACCATTTTTCCATTTCAGCATGGTCAAATATTGTTTCACTTCATTAGCGCAACTCTGTCGAGTAGTTTTCAGCATATTATGAGTAATTTCCTGACTGGACTGTTTCTATTTAGAATATTCCTAGCAAATTAGTGCGAAAACGCTACCAAGACCAAATAACTGGATGATGTCTCACACAAGTTGGGTTTACATTGCATGATCAGCTTCAGTAACTTGTGCACATTTGAAATCTCACGGATAATTACATGTTTCTCCTTGTTTTTGCTTTTATTATAGCACGTTTTTTTTAACTGCTATCACGCTAAATTTATCCGCCCCAAAAATATATTGCTCCTTTCAACCGATAAGGAAGAAGCTATAACCCTTTACTGAATTCGTTTAGTGCCAAATAAAATTGAAATCACTGAAAAAAACGTGGACAACTGTTAGGGCAAGTCGCATGTACTGAGTAAATGCTGTGGGTTTTGAAGCGCACCAGACGGGTAAAACTACTAGTTGACCATGGTTTTAGTACCCATCCTTTTCATTTCAATGACAGACAACAGTGTGGTATTCTTACGTTTCTTGTAGCATAACATTACTTACCGCTCAATGCCCTAATCGGTGTCTTGGGCTGAATATCCGTCATGGCGAATAATCCCCATTTACTAGACTTACTAGTCTCGCCGTGAGGATTAGTCGACCAAATCCTAAACATCCTCTCGTGCATATGAAGTACCTATACAGTAGACGAAACCTCGTCGGCAACCTGCCTGTTCGGTAGCCCATCATATCACGGATAATGCTTTGATAGATTGAATTGCACACAGCCTTTGCGCAGCACATTCCCCTGAAGGGTTTTACCAACGAGAGTTGGGTTTGTACTTCACCGTAAAATAAAGTTGGTTTGCAGATGAATTCCATTTGATAGGGCGGAAGTATGCATCCATCGCTGTAATCATCCAGCTAGAAGATCGTACCAGTCCACCTATTCTTGTCATCCTGGTTGATCAGGTGACATGCAGTCATCCTTCTCTTCTCTCATACACCATTTCTATCCACGGGTCCAAACAGAGCCTAAGTTGATCAATAGTCAACTGAGCACAACAATAAGGTCGCCAAATGAGTCACGAAGGGGATGGTGACTGTAAATCACGTATCAAGTTGCGGTTCTTTCGACTTAGGTAACCCGACAATGACGTTGAATGAAAACTATACAGGGAGTGACGGTATTCTGATGTATGCGATGAGGACAAATCTGTAGACGCCCATTGGGCACGAAAGGTGAGAGTGACGTTACATCAAATGAATTCTACCGGACACAAAGTTTACATGGGCTTCAGTATCTTTACAAACTAACACAGCTGACTCTTAATGTAGCTTCGATAAAATTTCACATCACCATTGTTCTTAAAGGGTGTTACAGTAACCTCCACGAAAGAGTATGACGAGGAAAGGAGTTCTGGCCTTCTTAAGGGATTACTTGCCTTTGACGATCTTATTACATGTCAATGCTCATAAGGAACAACGTTTAGACTCTAAAGGGAAGGAGTCTCCCTACAGGGGATCACCTCTCCGGTATTCAATTTATCTGTGACAGTAAGCCGTGTGAAGTGTCTCCTTTCTCTTTCTTTCCTGAACGCAATCCTATCCATGTTTATGCTTCCTATACTGGAGTACAAGTAGTACGATGGAGTTAACTGAGTAAGTCCACTGTGTGAGGGAAAATGTTCGGATTTGGTTGAACAAACAGTTTACGTGCAACTTTAGGTAAACTCACATTCATCCCGCATAGTCTGGTTATTATTTGGTGCATAAAAATCACATGCGACAAATTCTAAACCACAGCTTTGAGGAAGACATTCATATGTACACTGAAGCGCGTAGTAAGTAGCAGTACAACGACGATGAAATCAGTGAAGCTGAACAAAATCGAAAACGCGCATCAGTGCCAAACAATAAAGTTTGGTCAAAAATGTGGTTGGGTAGGGAGAAAGGTAAAGAGATACATTGGACAGACGCAAGAGGGTGGTGGCGTTGGTGATGAGAACTGAGATGAGGCGCATAAAGGAAGCACATGGTACACACCCAGCGTATGCTTGTCCTCAAATAACGCCACAAACACACCAAGACAAGCAAGTCAATGTGAGGCCATCGTCCAACGCCCATCCTCGCCATAATATTCACACTGAAATGTTGTTCACTTACCAAAGGGTGCGAGAGTCAGGCAGACAAGAAAAGGGGGAAAAAGTTGTCATATTCGGTAATCCTTTCGCCCATTTTCTTACACCTCTCATAAAGATTGCTTCTTCATTTTGGAATTTTGCAACCCTTTCATACTAGCCGCGTGACTAGGGTAATTAAGTTGTCACAATCATCATAGGCTTAAGAAACGATTTGTGAAGTCAGTCTAATGTGCGTTGGTGTGAAATGAGACACCAGCAGAGACACCCAAACCAAATATCGAATACAACCCACAGCAAGGTTGGTGGAATTTCCCTTATACACGGTATGCACGTCTTTGGGATTTCCCACACTCACCTGGGATTAAAGCCAGAAAAGTCTATTCATAACAAGCCACTGGCACACGCTGATGAAAACGCTCTGGGACATCAAACATGTGGCATTTAATGGAGCTCTGTTAATTTGAATAACCTTAAAACCCTCACTTCGCAGTCATTCTTGCTATATTTAAGCTTTCACGCCTTTTGACCCATGCATCCACCGTCCCTAATTTCATGAGCGTTATGATGAAGATGGTAGCAATAATAGAGTCGAGCGCACAACAACTAATCCGATGAACTGGCCGCTACTAGATTGCTCGGAGTCTCATTCAACCGTACACAAGGCCACAATATTGGATTCATTACGAACACCGTAGCTCGACTAGTTGTGATCGTGTGTGCATGTCTTCGTCCTGTTGACATCAAACAACTGCACTATAGTGCCACTATGCTCCCCTAGCCCACCAGCGGGCACCAGTGAACTATTGGGGTGGGTGGATATGATCAAGTGAGTGGGTCCGGATCGATATCAGCCGGTCTGATAAGTCGAAAACACAGGCAACTTTGTGCAACTCTGCGCTGAATAGTAATGTGTTGGAATATTGGTAGCTCGGGTGAGTTTATTGGTTGTTGATCAGGTGGCTGTTGATCTGTCCAAGCTCCGCGAACAGATCAACAACCATCTGGGCTGAATATCAACTGGCCAATCCAATGCACGACTACGCAGCTGGAGAGTGGCGAGGCTCAAGGAGAGTTCTCCAACGACATTGGCTGCGCAACCATAGATGAATCGATCCGACTTCATGGAGTACTTGACCAAAGTTAAATTTACCATGGTACTAATACGACGGAGATTGCACTTTTTAGGTACGTTTGCACATCTACTAGAATCCCACTATCATCCTACAGTTTGATCACACCCATCTACGCCACCGATCTAACCGGAAACAGACTAATATATGCGGTCAAAAAAGGTAACAATAAGGAGATCCAATTTCCAAGCTTCATTTCCGTGTTTATCGTCTGAACAAGAGGTATCAGCTTCTTCCATTCGTAGCAGACGCATCATGAAGTCATGAGTAGTCCCAGAGTTTAGTCGTAAGGTGTACTTAAATGATCCGAGACATCTGGCCAAAATGAAGATACCAACACAGTTCACTACGTTGAAATCATATGTAATTGCACCCGTGAGAGGTCACACACAACTAGAACCACGGGTTGTGGTATGCATTTACTTGTGCAGAGGTGGAATTCCATACTACTTGAAAATAAATAGGTAGCCTGTTCTTGAAAAAATTGCTTGTGGATGGGTAACATTCTCGTTAGGGATGCACCCATCGGTCGCATAACGGTCACCGGCTATTCAATTCCTGCTTAAGCTTACTATTTGACTCCAACTAACCTGGTAATATATGCCGATGCTTTAGACAAACGACCTGACATTAAAAACTTGGAGCGGTGAAGCACTGCGGTTCTCTAACGAGCAACCGGGTCAGCCACTGATGACAAGTAGATCGACTGACTGTGTCTGTTGGGAATTTTGCTTTCACACTAGCCAATTTAACGGTTAGATGAGTAGTGTTTCATGCTCAATATGGAGTGGACACATAAAAATCATAACCCCCTTACCTTAACACTAGCATAATCATGGCTGTGGCTGTGATAGAGCTGCGTCGGTTATTCAGTTAGCTAACAAATCAGAAAGATTAACCCTAGTGTCATTAAGAGTTCGGTCCTAACGCTCTTGTTTTACCATGCATGCTGAGCTTTGAAGATGAAGCCTGTCAACAGTACGATACTTGCTGGTGGGGTAGAAGAGCGAGGTGAAATGCCAATGCCGCTAATGTCTATGGAGTAGAAGTGCTTCCGGGGCGTCCGCTCACAGATATCGAGTACACAGACAATATAGCTGTTCTGGGATCTGACAACGTGGTACTGCAAACAATATTAAATAATCTACATAACTCCGCCTTACTGTTTGGCATACGCTCCACATCTGAAGAGTGTAAAGTGCTACTGCAAGACTGGGTGGGCTCGAACCCGAACCTCATGCTTGCGGATGAGCTGATTGAAGGAGTAGACAAATTTGTTCACCTGGGCAGCTGTATCGGTCCTGGTGGTCTCGCAAAAGATGATGTTTTCATCCGGATTGGGAAGGCCAGAGCAGCTTTTGTGAACCTACGTCACCCGTGGCGTAAGCTTAACCGTCAAGGGTCGAGTTTACAATGCTGCGGTGCGTTCCATATTACTATACGAGTCAGAAACCTGACCGATGCGCGCCGAGGAGGTCGAAAGACTTTCGGCGCTTGACTACCGATGTTTTCGGAGCGTTGTCCGAGTCCGGTGGGAACACCGGATCAGAAAGGCTGAAGTACGTCGAATGGTATTCGGAAAAAATAACTCACACAAGATAGATGAACTGATCGCACTGCATAGATTGCGCTGGCTTGAACATGTACTGCGTACGTCAGTCGACCGAATTCCTCGAAGGGCTATTTTCGCACAACCATGTGAAGGGTGGAAGAAGGCTAGAGGTGGTCAAACAATGACTTGGCAGCGAAGTATAAAAGCCATTACCAGCAAACTCAGCTGCGCTGGTCATTGCCGTTTCCTGGATGGGGACCCCGAGACGGGCCACATCAATGGTTAGAGACACTGTCAGACATGGCCAAGTCGCACCCTCGTCGCGCTCGTGCATGCAAGCTATTGCCTTCAATACACAGCTCCCTTCACAAACCTCGCACTTAACAGTCCTGTATTTGCGCATCCATTTATCAGCTCCCGCCACCAATGCGGAGCTATCTACCCCACCTCCACTAATCATCCGTGAACGAAACTGTGGCAGCTACAACCCCTGTACGACAAGTATGCGGTTCTTGCGGCTGATGAAGCACACATTCACAAACCAGTCATTTGTTACACAACAGTCATTGTGATGGCAAGCGTTGTTTAGCAGACCTGTTTGTCTGTATTTATAACGCCATCAAACCATATCGCAGTAGCAGCTCACCGCATAGTAGGCAGACTGGATAATCGGATCAGCCGAATCACGAAAGAAACTTGAATCGCTGTAATTCCTCCTAGAATTAAGTGTAGCCTGGTTACAAATAACTCACTAGGACCAGAAGGCAATCACTGGAAGTTTGTTATCAGTATATTTGCCTATCACTCGCAATCTCTACTTACGCAAAAAATGGGTTGGAAAGTCTTCCGGAACGACATGAGAGGAGCCCACTTCAGTGATGCCACTCATGTGGTACTTCTTCATTTCATGAATCTAGGATCATGATCATTTCCAACTACGTTCGAGCCGTTAATCACAATACCTTCATGATTTATGCGCTCAGTTCTTGAAGTATAAGCGATCAACCGATAAGCGAATCCTCATCTAAGTGAATGTAGTGTTCCTACTTAAGACCATCTTGGATAAACAACTAAGTTATGACGAAATCCATCTGTCAATCTTAATTAAGGTAGTACTGAACCCATCATCTCCAAAATCTGCGGATTACTTCAAGCCTTGGATCTTTGTTACACTCTCAACGATGAGTTGGTACACGAGTTTTCTCGGAAAGAGAATGTGTTTAATAATAACCTGGAATTAGCCGGTGTCAATTTTCGTTGAAAACAGAATCCCCAAACCCAAGGGTAGTAGGAAGACGAGTGAGCGTTCAGCTCTCGTGCAAATGAGAAATCACGAGGACTGAGGTTATGCCAGATCGCTCAAGCGACAGCCGAAGACCTAGGGTTCGGTTCGAACCATGAGCTTTCTGTTTATTAGCTTCGCGCTCTAATCATAGGATTATCAGGAGTGTATAAAGTGGGCACGGCCCAGTAACTAATGTTTTGCCCTCCGATCGCTTTTCACAAAGCAGAGACAGCGACAAATGCATGTGGACCTAACACTTAGGCCAGTAAACATCATACACAGTATTCCTCAAATGGATGAGACGTACAGGGTCTTAGTAGATGCACTAGTGTGGCGAGAGTTCCGAAATTGTGGTTTGTGCAGTGTAGTGATGCCACAAAGAGTTCGTGCGGCTGCGTTTATATGAAAGATAAACAGCTGACAGCTGGAGCTGTTATTGAGGCAAAGACATAGGCAATCTTATGACTAAGTGCAGCGAGCCGCGAGACTACTTGGCCAAATTGATTGGTAACAATAAGAAAGGTCAACATAGAAGTTTACAGGAAATGCCTACTATTAAGTTCCAAGGAGCATATGATGGCGCGCAAACGCCGTGTGCGTCCCTGTTAATTAATCAACATACCTAACGCAAATTAAGCTATGGTTGGCTTTCTATATTTCAAAACCGAGGTGCAAACAATGCACGTGCTCTCAGACGACGCGTACTTCATGAGTTACCCAAGAGGTATTTCACAGCCGACGGAACACTTCGTTGTGATTGGCCAAGCAAGGGAATCACTGTCAAGATAGTGTTTACCAGAAGTAGAGAAATTGGAGGAACGAATAGATGGGTTGCTCGAATACAGTGTTATTCGTCGCTTCTGATTGAAAAGAGCGAAAAACAGCGGCGCCCTGGAAAATTCGAACTGTTCTTCTATCTGAAGAATATGAAAGTGACCCGGCCAATTGAAAGAAAAACAGCTGTGCGTAAATAGGAGATTATCCTGAATCTGTGTGACGATAAGCTCCAAAGAAGTCAGATCCACCTCCGCCACCAAGAACATCACCTCCACTCGAGTCGTTGTACGCGGAACTCATACGGGGTGGTAAAGCTCAGTTATACGAAACTATGAGCTGGACACTATGAGCACTACATCTTGGTGCATCAACGGGTTTGAAGTTGTCATATTTTGATGTCGACCACCAATAGTTATTACGTAACTCATCTCGATCCATCCAAATGGCTAGAAAGGGCTTCGGGAATCGTCCCTTTTATCGCTTAAAGGAACGCGGCTGTACTGCAATTACTACACCTCAAATACTGGTGAGCTCAATCGGAAACGCGCTCGACCTTACTGCCCTGTGCAAATGGGTTGGGGTTTGGCATTAACAAGCAATTGCAGTGAAGGAATATGCAACTCATCACAAACAGGCATATTTGGTCATCTAATTCGGGGACCTGAGAATGACCAGACTTATGCGGCATCGGGGATCTTATTTGTACTCGCGAGTTTATTTGAAAATGCTTCAAGGTACTGCGGTACAAACTTGTTGCTAGTCATTCGGTCGTTGACACGCACTTAAGTTCTCATAATTATTGCACTTGAAAGAGCCTGAGAGTGTGCACGCTGCATGAAATAGAAATAGCATACTCTCTGAAACTTGTCGGAGATGGTCTGTAAGACGGATGGACTGTCATCCAATCACGACGAAATCTGATAATTGCTCTTAATGGGTCCCCGAATGTCTAACCACCTTCCCTGAATCTGAAGAGACGTGTGTATCAAGCTACAGGGCGGGTTGTTTTGTTGTATGGCTGAGACTTTGCCTATTCGAGCAGCGGAACTGAGACGTCTTCAGGTGTTCGACAATCGTTGTCTCAGAACCATAGCTCGTGTGAGTTGGTGTCGGCGAGTCCGTAACGAGGCAGTTAGAAAGCGTGTTTTCGGTTGAAGAATGTGTCCAGCACCAGAAGCTGCGTTGGTTGGGACATGTATTGCGTATGCCGAACCATCGTTTGCCGAAGAGAGTGCTGTTATCCATGCTCAAGCCAGAGTGGCGTAAACAGAGAAGTGGCCAACCCTTGACTTGGCAGAGGAGTATGAAGGAGATCACGAAACGCTTGGGTGCTGTTGGTGCTACTCGCCTTCCAGGATGGGGACCGCGTGATCCTCACTGTGCCTGGTTGGAGAACTACAAGATATGGCTGCCAACCGATGTCAGTGGCGTTCTTGTCAGTTTCTGTCCAGATTGCCTGAGTGAATGTCTGGAGGTGTAGGCACCTCGGAATGATTGTGTTAAGCTAGCACCAAGTCTCTCCCGCGTCCACCTTTACTCTTTTCTTTACAATAAGGCTTTCAAATAAGTCATGGTTGTACGACAGTGAAGCATCGGTGTTGAACACAGATGTCATGCTGTCGATGATGACGATCCACCACAAGTACTGATATCATTTGTTCTTGTTCGTACAATATCCACTACTGTAGGTTATGATCACTGATGGACAGAGCTGTACTGGCTAACAGGGAACACAGGACAGAAGACGTAGGTCATATATTCGTGTAACCCACTTAAACGGGACACCAGCACTAACGGTCATTCTTAGAGTTGTGTTTACTCAGCTAGCCTCGCATTTATGAAAAAAGGCCAGTGTACGAAAGTCGACTGTAGGCAAATTCGAACTCACAAGTCAAGAAAAACAACAGAGGTTACAAAAACAGTGAACGGAATTCAGTGTAGGGCAGTCAATTTCTACTTCTTAGATGTTTTCTTGGCGGATGGGGCACTCGAGTTCCAGTAGTAGAATACCTGGCCCATTAGGATGTAGTTGCACAGAGTGGATAATATGTAGGTGAGAATGATAAGATTATCACCAGTTTCTTCGAGTGACGTGAAGATGCGTGCGGTAGAACCCAATGCAAACAAACAGAGAGTGATCGCCGAAAGCTGACCAGTGCTACCATTGCGCCAGTTAGCAGCAATTTGAAGGATCTATGATAAGAAACAATGAGAAGAGGCAGTTAACGCAACCGAACTAAAACCATTCAAAAGTGACAAGAACCCAGGATCAGCCCCTATCTCAATTCCAGCCAGTCAGAAGACGAAGTAAGTGAATGGCCCGTATGTCATAGATGAGAAGTGTTTGAAAAGGGTCGGAGTAAAAAAATCGTCTCAAACGAAGCAAGGTTATTTAGTCCACAGACAACGGTTGGACCTCGAATTACTCTAAACTGAAAAGAAAATCTCCTTATCAGATGGATGACATTAGCAAGATAAACATAAATCCTCAAGTGAGTTCGTTGACGAGAACAACCGGCAACGGTGATGAAGAAGGATAGAGACATCAACCTTTTCGACGTCACGCAAGTAAGGGGGTACCGTACGCTGTAGCGTACCGTAAGCAGTATGTGACACTGACCGTGAGGATAGGAATTCAGGTTTTTTAATAGATTGGACATTGCGACAGCATGTTTTCGCTAGGGGGCTCTTCGCATCAGCGCTGGCTCGCGTCTGCTAAGCCACGCTACAAAGAAATACTTTAGCACTGCAGCATCAAGGGGACCGAGAAGCAATCGTGCGCGCATTCAAACTGCAGTCACTAAGGCAGTGAAATTAGGCTACCTGTGCAAGCTGGCTACACACACCAATTTCCAACACGTAGCATTAACTGCAATAACAGAAGTTTTATGCCGACAGTGTAAGCCGAGGAGCCAATCGGGACGTTTTTTTCGCACTTTCATGTTAGAAACAACGACAGCACACTCTCCCTACTCCAAGTTGTCAGCCTTACTCAATACAGGACCCAGAAATACTTATCTGTAAGGATCACATAACAAAATCATCATCAGGAGAGCATAGGAATCAAAATATACATATACATATAATGTTCCTTGGGATGCGCAGAAGAGTCAGGTACAACTAGGGCATTTAAACATGCAAAATGTAGCCTATCGATGGGGAACTAGACAATACCTTCAACTTCACGTAAATTAGACATAAACGAAGAAATCTCAACCAGAAAACTAATAATTCTTCGTAGCAGTTTCTCCTCGGCAGATAAAGGTCCTCACGTTCCGGACACCCTCGTTTAAGTGGTCCCCCTGTCATGGCGTAATCAATAAGAAGGGTCCACAGAAAATGGAAGAAGAATTGACCATGCCGGAGTTCAAACTCCGGACATTTGAAATGCGAGGTGAGCGCGTCGTCATTGCTTCACCAGCGCACACTAAACGTACATGAATTATCACGTGTGAACAGGCGAACGGGATTGGTTCAACCGGCGCCTCAGTAACTGTCCTAGTTGTGTTGATCGGCTGCTTATCAGGAGTTTCCAGTCAAGCAGCACTACCAACGCTCGAAACGTGCCGGGCAATTTGTTTTGGTCAGTTGTAGTTGGACGCGGGATTTCTAGAGTTCATGTTCACATTATTATCGTTTCAACAGTTCTCCCCCTGTCCTGACGCAATTATCCTGATGAGTCTACACTGCTGATGAGCTGTAATAAGGGTGAAACTCCAGTATAGTGGTGTGCACTCACCACAATAATTGCACCAGGACAGGACGAGCACTGTTCAAATGAGACTGATGTGAACGTAAATTCTACGAATCACACAACCACGTACAACATAACAGAGGTGTCAACGTGCATGCAAACCACATGACACTGGTTTTTGTCGATCAAGTACATGGGAGTACATACATACAACTAAAATTTGCTCATACAGAGAGTAAGATGAGTAGTTACACTGGTGTAGAAGATTACATACAAGAAAACTCGGGCATAGTAAAGCAAAGGGAAGAACATAGTATGAGCCTGTACACAAAAGTATATTCTAAATCAAACACCCAGATAAAAGCGATGGCAAGAACACTATTTGCATATATTCGTGGCCACATTGTGCACTCTGGGAGGGCGAGGTGGATCAGTGATTAGAGCGCGAATTTACTGACCGGAAGGTCTGTGGTTCGAACCCGACCTCTACCTAACGACTTCCCCCGTCTAGGCTTGGGCAACCTGCCAGTATCCTAGCCCTTCGGTCAAATGACTGACAGTCAAATGGCCCAGCGACGTTTGCTTGTGCAGTGGGAAGGGGTTGGGGAGGGACATCGGTGGACGCTGAACTGCGCGGGCAAAT